TAAATCGTAAGCCCTCAAAGTGTCCCCGGCCGCTTACGGGAATGTCCGCTTTCGGGAATGAATAAATACAGAGTTTGTATGGGAGTTCAAATGGGATTTTGAGAAGGCGGTCGTCCGTAGAGATGTCTGCTTACGAGAGTGTCCGTTTAGAGAGTTTCCACTGTACTACCAAGGAAGTATTTTAGACAATCTTCTTATCAGCTGGCCCTGAGGAAAATGGTCTTTCCTCATTATTTGAATTACAAACACAACTTATTAGTAAGACGAGGTAGCCTGGACAAACCGTTTCTCCCAGTTGGCCGGGATCTCCTTTTTCTCCTTGGCCACCTTGTTCTCCCTAAAATAACAATCAAACAATTCCTGATATCAGTACGGGAAGGGTCATTTGTACAACAGCTACATTATTTTTCCACCCCACTTCGGCCAAAAAAAAAAAGATCTCGCTTCTAGTAGGCTACATGAATCAGTGTACAGCCTTCAGATCAGACTGGCAGATCAAACTGACGGGAGAGTCTAAATGCCAGCCAACGGCAGAGCCATCGTATGGTAAACTCGGCATACGAATCAAGTGGCCCATCAGGCCGGAGCTTATCCCGGTTTTTGTAGCATGAAGCGACTAGGAGCATTTCTACTCTCCGCGCCCCCTAGATGGAATGCTACCAGCATCCACCAGCATTAAGTTCGCCGGTACCCAGTTTTACACCTGGGAAGAGACAGGCACTGTGAGAGTTAAGTGTATTGCCCAAGAACACAACACAATGTCCCCGGTCAGGGCTCCAACCATAGACCACTGGGTTTTGAATAATGAGGAACTGGCATATTCCTTGAGTTTTATAACAGAGACGTGTGTGTTGTAGTGGAGTGAACGTACCGCCCAACCATCCGGATTGTATCGTGCTTAGATAGCGAAGGGACAAAGGAAAGGTTAGTAACCAATGATAAAGCAATGACGTCACGGTCAAACCGGCGGAATGCTAATGTTAATGTTAATTTAGGCAAATGTTCACCTGCACTCTAGACACGAAGGAGTTCTAAACATTTTCCTTAATTGCTTACCCTTGCATTTCACGTTTGCTAATTAAAGATGTTTTTTTTAACCGCGCGGCCATGGGCCGAGCGCGGTTCATAATCTACCCGTGGTTTATTATT